CAACTGGAGGCCATTCGATTCGAGGTTTTAGTGAAAGGAACGTTAGTGACGGCGGAAATTTTTGTCTTCTGTGGTTGAATCAGTTTAAAATAGTGTCGGAGACACCTTTTAACTGCGATACAGTTGGCCGTGAGCTGAAGTGAGCTATACTTTGCTCGCTGCTGTGCCCTCAAACGGACTGGAACATTCGCATCGGAAACCAAGGTTATGTGCTTATTTTAACTGATTTTAAGAAGTGATGTTTTGATGTTTCATTCCTGACGTCAATCAGTGTGTCAACAATTATTTTGAGACCGAGAGAAGTTGATTTCATAAATTAATTTCATAAACGTTTTGTTTATTGGCTTTGTTAAATTCGAGATAAAGCAGTTGTTCTCGGCTTACCAAAGCCAATTTTGTGCTTGGTTTAGTCTCGCTCGACAGTCTGACGACTGAGACTGCTCGAGTATTTTTTCTGAGTGATTTTCTAAAAAAGAAACGGTTTTATCTTTCTTCTTCCTGCTTCTCGTACCTGTTGAATGCCTCGACACGACATTTTTGTACCTTATCTTTTGCCCAGCCACGTAAAATATTATCCAAATTCTCAAAACTTTTCGCCATTTTAAAACACAGAAGGAAAAAAACTTGTAATGATGACGTCAATCGTGCGTCTGTCCTCTAATAGATCATAGGCGAGAACCAATCAAAATTGGAGAATAACTTGGGTTATTATATAAAGGCCCACATTTCTTTTTAATTTGCCCTAAAAATAGATATCTGAGCTAGCGCTTGGTCCAGAATACTTGACTTATAAGTGTTTACCACTAGTATGCTCAGAAATGAGCCAAGCACTTCATTCACCTGAGTTTGTTCGTCAATATAACAGTTTTGTTTATAAAATGTAGTTCCTCGATCTTTTTAGTCAGTCACTTGCTAACATCATCTTTCATAATAAGTTTCGTTTTGAAAGGGTTTGGTGGATCTTTGTCCACTTTGCTTACTATAATCAAGCGTGACAGGAGGGTGGGCGGGGAGTTGGACCGTTTTTGGGACATGAATTATTTTTCCCACATTTAGGTTGTGCTTGATTTTGTTTTGGTGGGGAAAGACTTATGCGAGAAATTTTTTAAAAGTCAGACACCGTACCTAGATAGTGTTTTTCTATCTTAGTACACTATAATGTTCAGGTTTCCTTCAATTTAAATAAAATTTTTCACTTGGCCAAAATAACTCAAAATACCCTCACTAAGTACCTTTAAATGTTGGATATTTATACAGGCGGCTTCCGTTTGCATCTTCAAGGCATTTATTTGCAATTGCGATTTATTGGCATTGCGGGTCGTAAACGAGCACATGTAATTATGTTATCTAAAAGAGTGCAGTTACTCGCAAGTACCAAACGGCCGTATACATTAATCATTCCATTACATTTATTTTGCTATTGCTTTAGAGCCCTTTTAAATTTTCCCTGAAAAAACGAAGTACCTCTACAGTGCTACAGTTTAATGCAAAACGATCCCGTATGAACTAAGAAAACAATACAACACTGTTTTCTTTTAATTATAGCGCACTCTCCGCTAATCAACTCTTCTCCCTCGTCGGAATGGACGTTAAGGCGATTTGTTGAACTTTGCGCTTTATATGTTTGTGCTAATTTTACGCCGGCTTTGACTTGTAAAATAAGCATGACACAAGTAAAGTGAGCCTAAGCGCAAGTTCAAGAAAAATGTTTCTTTTTTGTGCTTTTGCTTGTGCTTACTTCATCCCGGTGCACAGTAGCGTTTTCATGTGCTTATGCTTGTGCTAACGCTTGTGCTTATCTCACAAGTGTGAAGCAGACGTAAAGCTCCTTTTAAAATGAACTCATTTTCTGATGCGTCTGTCCTCAATAAAATCAGCAGCTCTTAGAGCCGGCCGACTCCTATTGTCACAGCTGCCAAGAAAGCTGGCACACAAGCTACAGCAGTGTCAAAGCCGTGTGCCCTTCCACCGTGCTTAACATAACAACTGACGTGATATTTTTCAATAAGTGAAAACAATAAAGCTTAGCAAAAGACTAGAGAAGACGAACGTCTGGTTAAACTACTTGGTAACCGTGTGTGCTCAAAGTATTTCGTATCTTAAGGGTCTCTTTTTCACCCCTTGCTGAGACGCAAATTCGCCGGAGCCAAATTCGCAAATTAGCCAATCAAAAGCCTTGTGCCTTACTGTTCTACGATATCAAGTACGTTACTGGTCTGATATGGCCGGATTTTAACGTGGCTAAATTTGGAAACGGTAAATACCTATTCGTACCCTTTTTGTAAGCTTGATAGCATTTCAGTCTCTTTTGGTCTCGTCATGGGTATTTTGGCTGGACTTCGTCTACTCAAAAGACTAGCCATCAAACCCGCCTGATGTGCCGCTCTTAAAGCTAACGAAAAGGAAATACCCGCGCGATGGCGTCAGCTTAGTGTCTCTACCCCAGTTGACTACAAAAATAACCCAATGACTGCGCGAGAACTTTGGCGGTTATTGCAAAAATTAATTGTTGTGAAAACTTAGCACCAATCCCAGCGGCACCTGCACTCTGAGCTAATGCAAATGCACTTCCAGAGGCCACACAACCTCCATAGATTGTTGACTGGGTCGCTGCCGCAAAGGCTGAGAGAGATATCAAAATAACGCAATAAAAACATAAGGTAAGGGAAATTTATTGAAACTATTTTCTTCACGTAGCATTTAGAGCAATTTTTGAAGCATTTTCATACATTGTCTTACAAACGGTTAAAATTGTAACGCAATAACCAACAGCATAATGTCACGTATTGATCGTATTTAACCCTTTGAATACCAAACTTTCGCCAAAAAATACCGTTTTTAACCGTTTAGTCAGGTTTTTTAGCTACCATGACGCTAAATAAGCCTAAGTTTNGCGCCAATCCCAGCGGCACCTGCACTCTGAGCTAATGCAAATGCACTTCCAGAAGCCACATAACCTCCGTAGATGGTGGACTGCAAGAGATCCCATAGCAAATCCTGTGGAAGTGAATGCTACTGCTGTGAGGCTCTAAACGGCATCCAGGAACACAGAGACATCAAAATAATGCAATGAAAACATAAGGCAAGCGACATTTATTGAAATTATTTTCTACGCGTAGCATTTAGAGCAATTTTTGAAGCATTTTCATACATTGCCTAATAAACGGCTAAAATTGTAAGGCAATAACCAACAGCATAATGTCACGTATTAATCATATTTAAAGGGACAGTATCATGAACCAAACCAAACCAAACCAAACCAAACCAACCCAACCCAAACCAAACCAACCCAACCCAAACCAAACCAAATCATGGAATGTTGGTTTCGGAAAAATATTAATTTTTTAATTTTCACCAGAGTATTAAATTTGAAATACGTAAGGGAAAAGCAATCCAGACTCTGGCTTTATGCAGTCTGCTGTTTTTTGCCTGCCTAATCAAGATCGTCCACTAACAAAATGTTTCTCATAAGCTGATTCGTACACGGGGTGTGGGCCGGAGAAAGGACTCGACGGCATCAATAGTACTGATATTGTTTATTGAATTTTAAGTGTAGATTAATGCAAGTGCTGCAATCTGATGGGCTTAGCATTTGTATTCTTATATAATATGGCTGAATAGTGCCGTGATTTGCAAGCTTTACTAAAAGGCCGTTAGTCATTTCTGTACACCGCTCCAATATTTCTAGAGATATTCTTGATTCAGTATGTTACTAGGCACTTTAAAACCCTTTTACAGAATAACAAAGTGCTACAGTTTACTGTGAGGAAATCCTAAATTAACTACGAAGACAGCTCAACACATTGTTCTCTACATTGCTGCTTCTCTAAATGTACTGTCCACCAATCAACTTTATTAAATCACTTCTTCGACCTGATATGCTCCACTGCAATTACGATTACGGCTCCACACACCATGACGACGGCTGTTAATGCTACAAAGGCACTAGGGGTAGCCACTGTAAATGACCCCAGGCCACCAACTGCCACGGCCAGCGAATGCCGTTCGTCGCCCATCAATTTCCTGGAAACAACAATGAAAGAATGACGTCTCTCTAACTGGACCATAAGACATTATATGCTATCCAAATGATTTTAGTTACTTTCCCCTTGTACCTGTACAGAAGAACTAAACCAGCAGGTACGGTCACTACAACAGCTCCCGCTACTCCCGCCAAGGCCACAACTGTCCAGCTCCACCCTGTTGAATAAGACAGATAGTATTTGTTCAATACACAGCTCATTTGGGACAGCTGTCAAGATTGTGTCAAAATTTAAAACCAGTTGGGAGGTTCATTTCAAAAGAAAATCAAGTGAAGAGAAAAACATGTGCTTTGGTCCTCTTTCTGACGTCATTGGAAGTATCGGAAAGGTACAGGTATACAGGAGTTTTATGAACATATCGACGTTTCAAGAATTCGGGACAGTGTTGAGTAACTAAGAGAGGGTCTACCACATTGGTATTTTACTAGCTTAGCGAAGAAGTGATGCGGCTGTTCGCTCTCTATTTGAAAAATAGATTCCATGTTGCCGTGCGTCTGTTCAGTAATAGATTACAGATGACGTCAAAATGTGGTAAAAACAAGAAAAGTGGCAAACGAGGCGATAGCCGAGTGTGTCACTGATTTTCTTACCACATTTTGACGTCTTCTGTGATCTATTACTGAATAGACGCACGGCAACATGGAATATATTTGTTTTATGTAATAACGAAACAAACTACTACGGATAAAGCCTTATTTCAAAATCTTTCAACATAACTCGAAAGCCGGCCTTTGTCGCCTTTGCCCATTTTGGCGAACACGAAAAAAGCCATTTGACGCAATCTATTGTCTATACAAAATGAAGCAATCTCATTGGTTGCCATGCGTAGCAAATAATTGTGATTGATTCAGGAAAATCACGCCACTGTCAAACTTGACTCGAGGGTCGCTTCTCGTGGAATGAAAACTTACGGCGAAAGCAGAGTTGAACTGCAAAATCTACAAATCTTAAAGAAAATGCTGGAAAAGTCAAGTCAAGTTTTGTCATCGGAGCAGCCCTTTAGGCCAAAACGCTTGAATGTTGCCTTGAATATTGCAGGAGTTGAAAAAATACGCTTAGAAAACTTACGGCACAGACAGCCCAAGCTCTCTCTATGAACCACACAAGTAGGCCTGTCCCGATTGTGCTCGTAAAATGCTGGAAAGTTGCTCACTGGAATGCCAAAAAGTTGCTAAAAAATTGCCAAAAATCCAAAAAGTTGCTACCNGCTACTGATTTTCTTACCACATTTTGACGTCTTCTGTGATCTATTACTGAACAGACGCATGGCAACATGGAATCTATTTGTTTTATGTGATAACGAAACAAACTACTACGGACAAAGCTTTATTTCAAAATCTTTCAACATAACTCGAAAGCCGGCCTTTGTCGCCTTTGCCCATTTTGGCGAACACGGAAAAAGCCGTTTGACGCAATCTATTGTCTATACAAAATGAAGCAATCTCATTGGTTGCTATGCGTAGCAAATAATTGTGATTGATTCAGGAAAATCACGCCACTGTCAAACTTGACTCGAGGGTCGCTTCTCGTGGAATGAAAACTTACGGCGAAAGCAGAGTTGAAGTGCAAAATCTACCAATCTTAAAGAAAATGCTGGAAAAGTCAAGTCAAGTTTTGCCATCGGAGCAGCCCTTTAGGCCAAAACGCTTGGATGTTGCCTTGAATATTGCAGGAGTTGAAAAAATACGCTTAGAAAACTTGCGGCACAGGCAGCCCAAGCTCTCTCTATGAACCGCACAAGCAATACAATATGGCATCGAATTATAAGGGTTTATATGGGATTTTCTACAAGATATCCATGGAGG